ATAATATCATTATCATCTTTATTATTATTACTGTCATCATTTTTATGATTATTATTATTATATCATTCATATCATCATTGATTATCATCATTATTGCAGTTATTATAATTATTATGCTAATTATTATTGCTATTTTTTATAAATATAACTATTTAATATAATGATAATAGCAATAATGATAATCTTAAGAAATAATAATGACAATAATAATAATTATAATGACAATGATAATTATATTATCATTTCCATTGCCTAATATTAGTATGGAAATTATTGGAATATAGTTAATCATTACTATTATTGCAGTAATTATCAAGATTATCATAACAATTATGATTTTATCATTATTATCATTATTATTGTCATTATCATTGTCATTATCATAATTATCATTATTGTCAATAATAAGGGATTATCATGGAAATCATAATAATTACCTGAATTAATGTTAAAATCCTGATAATTACCATAAGAAAGCGAAAAGTTTTTTTTCAACGTTTATCTCAAAAGGCTGTAATACGCTAGAATTTGCCGTTTTTTCGACTTTTGGGATTTTATTACTTCTGGCCTTTATATCCTTTTAAATGGAGTGAATGATAATTATCATCATTATTATCATTACTGTCATCATTTTGAGGATTATTATCATTATATTCATTATCATCATGATTATTATTGTTATCATCATTATTGCAGTTATAATAATTATTATGCTAATTATTATTGTTATTTTTATCATCATAACTATTTACATAATGATAAGAGCAGTAATGAAAATCTTAGATATAATAATGACAATAATAATGATTATAATGACAATGATAATGATATTATTTCTATTGCCATTATTAGTATGAAAATTATTGGAATAGAGTTAATTATTGCAGTAATTATCAAGATTATCATTATAATTATGACTTTATCATTATTATCATTATTATTGTCATTATCATTGTCATTATCATCATAATCATTATTGTCAATAATAAAGGAATTTTCATGGAAATCATCATAATTACCTGAAATAAAGTTGAAATCATCATAATTACCATATAATAATAATAGCAATAATGATAATCTTAGAAATAATAATGACAATAATAACAATCATAATGACAATGATAATGATGTTATTATTATTTCTATTGCCATTATTAGTATGAAAATTATTGGAATAGAGTTAATTATTGCTATCATTGAAGTAATTATCAAGATTCTCATTATATTTATGATTATATCATTATTATCATTATTTTTGCTATTAACATTGTCATTATCATCATAATTATCATCAGTATTGTCAATAATAAAGGAATTATCATGGAAATCATCATAATTACCTGAAGTAAAGTTAAAATCCTTATAATTACCATTTAAAAGCGAAAAGGTTTTTTTTTTTTAACTACGTTTCTCTCAAAAGCCTGTAATACACTATATTTTGCCGTTTTACGACTTTTGGGATTTCATTACTTCTGGCCTTTATTTCATTATAAATGGACTGAATGATAATTATTATCGTCATTATTATCATTACTGTCATCATTTTATGATTATTATCATTATAGTCATCATCATCATTATCATCATTATCATTATGATCATTATTGCAGTTATCATAATTATTATGCTAATTATCATTGCTATTTTTATTATTATAACTATTTATATAATGATAATAGCAATAATGATAATCTTAGAAATAATAAAGACAATAATGATAATTATAATGACAATGATGATGATGTTATTATTATTTCTATTGCTATTACTTGTATGAAAATTATTGGAATAGAGTTAATTATTGCAATCTTTGCAGTAATTATCAAGATTTTCATTATATTATCATTTTATCATTATCATTATTAATGTCATTATCATTGTCATTATCATCATAATTATCATCATTATTGTCAATAATAAAGGAATTACCATGGAAATCATCATAATTACCTGAATTAAAGTTAAAATCCTCATAATTACCATTAAAAAGCGAAAAGGTTTTCCTTGCCTTTTTTTCTCGACTTTTGGGGTTTTATTATTACTTCTGGCCTTTATTTCATTATAAATGGACTGAATGATAATTATCATCATCATTATTATCATTACGGTCATCATTTTGAGGATTATTATCATTATAGTCATTATCATGATAATCATTATTATTATCATTATTGCAGTTATAATAATTATTATGCTAATTATTATTGCCTTTTCATCATTATAACTATTTATATAATGATAATAGCAATAATGATAATCTTAGAAATAATATTGACAATAATAATAATTATAATGACAATGATAATGATGTTAATGTTATTTCTATTACCAATGTTATTATGAAAATTATTGGAATAGAGTTAATTATATCTATTTTTGCAGTAATTATCAAGACTATCATTATAGTTATGATTTTATCATTATCATTATTATTGTCATTATCATTGTAATTATCATCATAATTATCATTATTGTGAATAATAAAGGAGTTATCATGGAAATCATCATAATTACCTGAATTAATGCAAAAATCCTCATAATTACCATTAAAAAGCGAAAAGGGTTTTTTTTGACGTTCCTCTCAAAAGGCTAGATTTTTCCGTTTTTTCAACTTTTGGGATTTTATTACTTCTGGCTTTAATTTCATTATAAATGACTGAATGATAATTATCCTCATCATTATCATTACTGTCATTATTTTTATGATTATTATCATTATAGTCATTATCATTGTAAAGAAATTTCGGCTATTTTATTTATATTCTTAATTTGTTTCGCTCGCGAATACGTGGCGAGCGAAATGCTTCGTCCGAATCCTGGTCGAATCAAGGTTCGCTCGGGAGCCTTGGTTTCGGGTTGTGGGTACGGGGGTCCTCACTCGACCCGACCATTGCCTTGAGGTGAGGTGTTCTCCCCGTGCTATTTTTGAATTTTATTTATTTATTTTTTGTGAAATTGTATCTGTATACATAAACAAAAGTGTATTTTTTGAACACAGGCAATTGAACCTACTCGTGGAGGAGGCTTCTTTTTAGATATTCATTAATGGGAATAATTTGAAGAATTGAGTCCACGTGGCCACGCGACACTGAACAAGACTGTATTGTGTCATGGACTAAGAGAAGAAAGGAATGTTTCCTCTGTATTTCTTTGAATTATAGTGATATCGTGAAATTTATAATTGTTCTGTGTGAATTTTTTTTTTGTTTGTTATTAATAAATTTTTTTAATGGTTCGAACTGAATATTTGTTTCCTCATTGCTAGTAAATCTCTATGAAACTAAAAGAACTTGGCATTTACTTGTGGCGACCTTGCCAGGATTCATGATTTACTCGTTTTGAGGATCAAATTCACGAGTAGAACCATTTTATATATTATATTTGTTAACAGCTGTAATACTTTCAGTGCTGTACGGCAGTACGTGGAAGTTATTTGTTTATGGAAGTTGCGGGAAGGTTTCCCCTTCATGGTTTGCCGTCCTTGGGGCCCGGAGGTGAATCTCTAAAATAGGTTGGACTTCAGGTAGGGTGTGGTGTATCTTCTTTAGGGGAAGAT